AACTATGGAGCTTGGCTCATCACTGGTAGTAGTTAGGGATTCTGTATGTGCCTGAAAGTTGTTTAGAGATAACATTTTAATCAGTTCAGTATCGTTGAGAGCTCTGAAATCCTCACATTAAGTAATTCCAGTCATTTTAATGGGACAATACCTATGAGTGTTACTCAACCTGAATAACATGTGCAGAATTGGGCCCTCAATGTACTTTATATTGAAAAGTTTCCCAACAGAATACATAGATGTCTAATTCAACCAGGGGTGGGAGTTTGTTAATCATTAATCAGCCAAAAGCTGTGAACATTTGAAAGGCTATCAATGGGCATTTCTAAACTACATCCCTCTTTCAAAAGAGGGATGTAAATTAGACAGATTGAAATTGCAAATGAAGCCAGGATTTGAATTTCCCGTGCTTCATTTGCATAATGGCGGACGCACATTCTTTCAAAAACGGGTATTTCGAAAGTGAATCTGCTGTCTAGATGCGGTTGTTTTGAAAAAACTCCCCTTTTTTTGAAAGATCCTTTACTCTGAGTAGTTGATAGGCTTTCTAAAAAATTCACTGCAATTTAATACCACTCCTATAAAGGAAAGGCAGCGTAGTATACTAGGAGTCAGGCCACCTGGGTCCTGTATTTGGTTCTGCCTCTGCCTTGCTGTATGATTCTGGGCAAATCACTTAATCTGTCTGCAATTGCTTTCCAATCATAGAATAGGGATATTTATCCAATCTTCTAAGCTTTTGTTCTGAGGTGTATGGTTGACAACTATTAAGGGTTATTATTGTAGGGCTCAATTTGGCACTTTCACCAAAAACAAGGACTAGCTGGCACACAACGCATTAGCTAGTATAAAAATGCTAGTATAAAATACTAGTATAAAAATGCAGGTCACATAGATGTGTATCAAGAAAGAGGGCATGGCATTTGGACTTGGTTGGGGAGAACACCTTCAGCTTGTGGTAATGGTCAGTTCCTTCTATATACAATGCAGAGACAGCCAATCACCTGCTGTCTGATATTCTGAACAGGCACACATTGTACAGACAATTATCTTTACAAATAATACTGTGTGGTGCAGTCATATCTTCTCATAGCACCTGACAGGGAGAGGAGCATGCGTCAGACGGTATGGGGATTAGAAGACTGGAAGAGATGTCACTGTATTTATCTAAGGTACTTGTATGACCCCAATTACCAGAATATTTGTGTCTCTGTCAGTCTTCAATGTATTTGTCCTTACAACACACCTGTGTGTTAGGAAAGTGCTATTAACCCTATTTCACAGATGGGGACTTGAGGCACAGAGAGACTAAGGACAACTTTTGAAGATATTTAGACATGTAACAGTGCAGATTGGTTCCTAGTGTGATTTTGAAACCAATGGGAGTTGGGGCCCTAGCTGCTTTTAAAAATCACACTGAGTGCCCACCTGCATTTTTAGGCACTTAATACATTTAAACACTGGCCCCACATGGATTGTCCAAGGTCTCATAGGAAGTCTATGGCAATGCAGACACTTGAACCTGGATTTTCAAAGTCCCAAGCTAGTGTATAAATCACTGGGACACAGTGATAGGTTTTAGTGGTGGGTTTTCATTTTTCCTTACTGAGCAATGCCTATTACAACAATTCAGAGTGTGGAGTAAGTGTTCTAGACAGGAGTAGCCATTGTGCACACCTGACTGCATGATACAGGGAGCAAGTGGCTACTGTCTGCATCCAGGCCCTTGGCAACTTGTACAACACAGCTCAGTTGCTCCTGAAGAGTGAGAACAGAACTCCACTTCAGCTCGTCCCACTGTTTTGCTGCATTAAATTGTACAAAAAGCCTCAGCTTTCTGGTTGTGCAATTCCTTGTGCTGCGTAATTGGGCACTGAATTGGCTCATAGTGGAAGGCTGGCTTCTGGGGGTATGTCTACACTTAGGGTGGTAATGTAGGCAACCGGAGTTGCAAATGAAGCCCGGGATTTGAATTTCCCGGGCTTCATTTGCATCTCGCCGGGCGCCGCCATTTTTAAATGTCCACTAGTGCGGACTCCGTGCCGCGCGGCTACACGCGGCATGGACTAGGTAGTTCGGACTAGGCTTCCTAGGAGTAACGGTAGTTTGGAATAGCCTATTCCGAACTACCTAGTCCATGCCGCGTGTAGCCACGCGGCACGGAGTCCACACTAGCGGACACTTAAAAATGGCGGCGCCCGGCGAGATGCAAATGAAGCCCGGGAAATTCAAATCCCGGGCTTCATTTGCAACTCCGGTTGCCTACATTACCACCCTAGTTCGAACTAGGATCGTAGTGTAGACATACCCTAAGAGTGGTATACAGTATCAGAAAACTAAAGACATCATCGAATGATAGTAAGTGGTTCCAGTCTTTAAAAATTTCCAGCGTTCTAATCTCTTTTCTCTGTATAGATGCAAATGAATACGGGGGTAGGGTGGGTAACATGGATACATGATAAAGCAGGCTAGGAAAACACCTATTAACAGTGATCTTTAATTTGGAGATGAGCCTCTGTCTCTTCCATGATTGTTACTATTCTTTCATGTTTGTTAAGTGCTGCCAACTGGTGCTGTGCAGAGACTCTTCCTCACGGAGGTTACTTGCAATCTAAAAATATGTCTCCACACATTTGTTTTGTAGCAGTGAGCCTACTTCTAAAAAGCCACTTCCAGTGTTGAAATTGTTCCTATCTAGCATGAATTGCATGAGGGCTTAATCCAATTTGCAGAGGACAGGCAGCATGCCGTGGAAACCATCAAAACAGATGGCACTAATTTTTAGCCTCACCAGTCTCACCAGAGAGGCCCAAAACTGAAATAGCAGGGAAATTGAACTATCCTTGCAGAGAGGTGATCCCCAGGCAGAGTTGGGGCACTGGGGTAGGG